CTTTGCTAGCTTAGCCAGTGATGAGAGATGATGGGAATTGCAGTCTAGTGGCATCAGGAGGGCCAGACATTCCCCAACATTGTTTTAGGTTTTCCTCATCTTTAATTCTCATCCAAGTGCAGTTTAGAGATGAAGAACCATCAGAAGGGAGAGCAGGGAAGGGCCTTGAAGCTGCCCACCCATCAGCAATAGACACCTGGACAGACAACTGAGCAGGCAGGCAGGCACACAGCTCACTGCATCATAGTGTTCCCCAGTATGGCATTGTATTTTTGTTGAAATCACAGTAACAGTTGCTAAATTTAAATTCCTGTGCACACGCAGTTATGTAAATTAGCAATTAGAAATTCTGCACAAATCTGTATACAGTGGGCCCTTGGTATCTGCTGGGATTTGGTTCCTGGACCCTCCTTGGATACCAAAATCAGTGGATATTCAAGTCCCATTAAATACAGTGACATAGCAAAATGATGTCTCTTACATAATATGGCAAAATCAAGGTTTGCTTTTGATATATATCTCACCCCAGTTACCTGTTTCCACTTTTGGGGAGATGCAGGAGTAACTACCTTGTCACAGTAAGGTAGGTTTGCTCTAGGCCAAGTCCAGTAAAACCTAATAACTGTTTTGGGGAACCAGAATTCCAGATTTAATAGGAAATCTTGAGTATGGGAAGAGGGAATTGTAGATGTTATTAAGGCTTCAAGCAGACAGGTGACTTGGAGTGGCCTCTGGCTGTTCCAGTCACAAACACGTCCTGAGTGGTGCAGGATTGCAGTGACCAGACACCACAGTCCACAATGGAACACCAGCAAGGAGTGCTTTTTTGCACTCCTTTTGTGACCAGGTTCGGGCCATTTTAGGCGGCCACAGCACAGTTTTGGCCCAATCCAGGGGTGTGTGTTATCTGAACGCCATGCCCCCGAATAGGCCCGAAGGTAGCACTTTTGGCCCATCTGTTCAGGCCTAAGACTCAACAGGATCTTAAATATAGGCTGATTCTCCTCAACCCCATGTCCTTGATTAGAGATTTCTTCCCCTTGCCTCATGTAACTGGTTGAAACAGAAGTATCATTTACTTGTATAAAACAAAGAAACTACAGATTTAGAAAATCCTTCCAGGTAGGAATGCACATACACTTCAGCTGTCGCAGTTTGGCAGGGATGGTCCCAATTAATCATCTGCTGCCTCATTTTTGGGGTTGCTTTTAAAATGTCTCTGTTTCTCTCACCTCTTTCCACTTCTCCACTTTGTCCTCAGCTTACTTCTATTGGTGCAAACTGAGTTAAAATTACAAAAGTAGTTTACACACAGTATTCTCAGCTGGGCAGGCGAGCAGAGAAGGGAATGGAATTTTGCCTATCTAAAAGGCTCAGCAAAAGCAAACTTCTGCAGCCCCTTCTAGCTTCCTCAGTAATAAGTTTTGTCATTTTGACCGCACTCTGATGTTGCTGGGTCATGAATAATCGATTAAATGTTGGAGAGTATTGGTGCAGTTCTTACCCCTGTCAAAGATCTAGTTCCAAGGTAAAGCGCTGATTTCCCAATTTCCCTCATTTGAGTTTGTTCTCCTTTCCCCCTTTGATTGTGGGAAACACAAAATGGTGTGCAATGGTGCAGTTCAGGAAAACATATAGGATAAGAAGATCAGTAAAAATAGCTTGAGCCAGCCCTGTCCCAGCCCAAGTGGATTTTAAATGGTGGAGAAAATATGCTTTTCTCATGCAGATTAACTTTTGTCATTAAGAGCAGATTGGCTCTAGAGACAATTTTTGTCTATAGTGCATTGTGCCATTTTCAACCTTTGCTTTGATTTGTTGTATTATGAGGATTTGCAGTGTGCCAGTGTGTGTTGATTGGGCATACATAGATGGGGAGGCAGTGATGTATGATTAGTCCTGCCTTGGAACAGGGAGTTGGCACTTGATGGCTTCCAGCTTTCTTTGTTATCGTTAACCTTGGGCTGGCTGCAACCTGGGATGAATGATGCAAACTTTCTCAGGTTTTAGATACCAAATGAAACACAGCTGCCTCTCACAGAATTCACATTAGGATGCAAACCCAGGCTTGCCGTGAATGAGCCTCTCTCCATCTTGGCTGAAAGGAATGTGAAAGAATCCTATAGTGGATTCCAAGATTTACCCTTTATGCCCCAGTGGTTTGGAAGGGCAATGAAAACCTCCGGCCCAACTTTATTGATGGAAAACAACCATCAATATATGCAGAGAGACAGAAGTGTGTGCTTGGACCACAATCCAATGGGAAAAAGCACCTTAAAAAATTGCTGCTTCAAAAATCTGTCCATTCTTTAATTATATCAAGCATTTAAAAATCTACGTATTTTTGTTGTGTGCCTTCAAGTCATTTCCTACTTATGGCAACCCTAAAGCAATCCTATCATGGGATTTTTTTTGGGCAAGATTTATTCAGAAACAGTTTACTTTTGTCTTCATCTGAGGAGGTTGAGAGAGTGGCACTTGCCCATGGTCATCCAGTGGGTTTCCATAGCCAAGTGTGGATTTGAACCCTGTTCTCCAGAGTCATAGCCCAAACTCAGACCACTACACTTCACTTTTGAAATTAACTGATGATTAAATTAAATTGCTTAAATTAACAGGGCAGCAGAATTATTTATTTTAAAATGCACTATATGTTTTGATTGCAAGCACTTATCAAATCATGTAGACTACAGATGCCATTTTAAGGAAGGTGCCTTTGTCCTTTGGGACAGGAGCATTTAAAATTGTTGATAGGTTTTCTTGGAACTACTGGTGGCTAGTGAAGTGGCCAAATTTGCTGATGATACCAAATTGTTCTCCAAACACATTTCTCCCTGGGGTGAACTTACAGTGTAGCTGTTTCGAAAAAGACAATACCTATGTTGGGAATCACCAGGAAAAGACTATGAAACTTACTACAGTGGGTCCTTGGTATCTGCTGGGCTTTGGTTTTAGGACCTCCATGGATACCAAATCTGTGGATGCTTAAATAAAATGGTGTAGTAAAATGGTGTTCCTGATATAAAATGGCAAAATCAAGGCTTGCTATTTGGACCATGTGAAAACTTTGGTCCTCCAGATGTTTTGGACTTCAGCTGCCAGAATTCCTGACTGTTGCCCGAGCTGACTGGGCTTCTGGGAGTTGAGGTCCAAACACCTGGAGGACCAAAGTTTGGGAATCACTGCTCTGGAGGGTGGTTCTTTTGAGTGGGGCATTTTGAGGAAGAGGTGGCTATGGACAGGTGTCCTGTGTTAATGTGGAGGAACCCCTCGGCGCAATTGTTTGAGCCTTGGTGTGTTCTAGTGAGTTTCGCCTGGCTGTTTATCTGCCACCTCATTGCCACAATAGGAAGGTGGGTGGCATGACTCTCCAAAGCCCTACCAGTGCCATACTATGAAAATCTGGCCTCATTGCCCTCTCTCACTGGGACCTTTCTGGATGCTGTTGATCAGCCAGTAAGACTCTCTGGAGCACTATCAATGGTACAATTTACAACCCACTGCTCTTTGCCATCTGAGGTGGGAATTTCACTGTGGTTAATATATTTATTGAATCGAGTGACTGCACAGCTTCTGCACAAATACAATAAAATAAACATGTTGTTCATGACTTTCAGTGGAAAAAATGTACTTCATAATATCTTTGGAATTTATCACACAACCTCTGTTCTCGCCATGATTGTGTTAATGAAGGAAAGTGCATACATACTGGCAGTGGCATCACTGATCATGTGCAGTAGGTACAGACTACACCAGGTGACACCCGAGAGGTGGGGCGACACCCAGCAGGGCTCTCCTCCTGTTGTGGTTGAGAGGTGAGCAAGCCCCTTGTGTCTTCCCTGCTAGCTCCGCTCTCATCTCGGGGAGGGAGCCAAGGTGGTGGCGAGGGTAGTGGAGGGGTGAGAGCTCGCCCTTCTGGCTTTGTCATAGCCTGGCTCTCTCCCTGGGAGGGAGCCAAGCCAGTGAAGAAGCCACAAGGGATGAGCAGCAGGAGGGGAAGGCAAATAGGCTGCTGCTGTTCCCCCCCCCCCCTTTGCAGGCCATCCACACTGGATGTCACCAAGCCTGGTGACACAACTACATACCAGTGTGGGAACACTCCCTATCATGATTGTTTTCCCTGTTACCATGGATGGATGGATCTGGACAGTTAATAAAGAAGATAGGAGGAAAATCAATTCATTCGAAATGTGGTGCTGGAGAAGATTCCTGAGGATCTTGTGGATAGCGAAAAAGACAAACAAATGGATCCTAGACCAGATCATGCCAGAAATCTCCCTGGAAACCAAGATGACAAAACTTAGGCTGTCGTACTTTGGATGCATTATGAGAAGGCATGATTCTTTGGAAAAAACAATAATACTAGGAAAGGTGGAGAGAAGAAAGAGAGGAAGGCCACATGCTAGATGGATGGACTGTATTAAGGTGGCCACAGGTATGGGTTTGCAGGAACTAAGCAGAACAGTGGAGGACAGGGAGTTTTGGGGATGTCTCATCCACATGGTTGCCATGGGATCAACTCGAGGGCAGTTAACAACAGCAACAAAACCCTATCACACATCCCTCCATTAGTGTGACTGGGCTGTTGCTGACCCCTCACACTCTCTTCTGCTTCATTCTTAACCTCACCTCCCTGCCTTATGCCCTACCCAGCATGCCTTCTGTGTGTGTATGTGTGTGTTTAAATGCAATTCTGGAGTTATGTGAATGGTTTAACAAAGAAAGAAAGAGCAACAACTGGCTGTTCTGGAATAGCAAAGGGCAGGGGGGATGGAGAAGAAGAGATACTGTGTCTGACCAGTCCCAGAACTGCTACAGGATTAATTTATTGCACATGAGAACTAGTGCTGTACCAGTGGGATTGGGAGCTTATTGATGAGTTTTTCCATCAGTGGCAAGGTGTGCTTTAACCACACTTCCAGGACAAGGCAATGATGCAAGGTGGATGGTTTTGTACGCTAAAGGCACTACTGTCAAACTTTTATAGCAGTTTTATGGTGGGCCAGTGTGGTGTAATGGTTTGCATGTTAGACTCGCACACTAGGAGACAAGGGTTTGAATCCCTGCTTGGCCATGGAAACCTATTGGGTGACCTTGGCCAAGTCACGCACACTCAATTGCAGAGGATGGCAAAAAAAAAAAAAAAAAAAAAACTTGCCAAGAAAACTCTATGATAGATTCACCTTAGGATTCCCATAAATAAAAAATGACAAGGCACATGACAACAAGAAACAAGGTTTAAAAAGCACATGTGATAAAGTCCATAGTAGCCATATGTGTGTGCCGGCAGTGGTATGACCCTCAACTAGTCAAAACTAGAAATGGATTGTGGCTACGTGTACAAACATTGATGCAAGATACCCCCCCCACCCCAGATCAATACAATTCATCAGGGCAGGTTCTACTGCTAAGGAAGGTGAGGGAGCTTGCTTCAGGTAGGAAATGTACTGTAGGGGTACTAATAAAGGGTAACAAATGGTGAGTTATTTAGTTTATTATTATATTTTCGCCATCATCAAGTGTGCCATTTAGACTTTCTGCCTGAAGCAACAAAATGTCTTGGACCATCTCTGTAATGTATTTTTATAGCACAAGAGTAAGAAAATATAAAAAGTTCAAAGAAATTTTTCTTGAACGAGAGGAGGTCTGCTGTCACCTCCAAAGACCATCTCAGACACACACAAAAAAGTAAATATTTTTTAAAAACCCAAATCACCATCCAATCTAGGTAGGTTGCACTGCACCGTGGTTTGCTTGTACTCCTAACAAGCACTTCTTAGCAGGACTGGAACTGAAAGTGCTGCTTGCATATCTATGGGTGGGTAAAGTACACCCATGGGTCATTTTTGTGGCTCCCAGGTCCCCCCGGGTCAAAAAGCTATTTTGTTCCAAAATGCCACCCCAGACTTCTTGTAGAGTAGAGGGCATTTCCACCATATTTGGAGGCCCCTTTGCCTGCCCCAGAGATACAAAATAATTGCATTTTTTTTAAAAAAATACTTAATTCCACACATTTGGGGATGGGGTGAATCAATTTAGGACCCAGAGAAGCTTTTTTAAACAACATGGAACTGACTTCTACTCACTTCTTGTTTGTAAACAAAACCTCTCCTGTTGTGTGTTTTTGTGTGTGTGTGCAGAGTACGATGGGAGAAGTGTGGTATTCCAAGGTCTCCTAGGGGACCAATGCATGCCCTAGCCTTCCACAGTTGCCCACCCTTGATTTAAGGGATTGCTGCTGCTGCTATGTGCCTTCAAGTCATTTTTGACTTATGGCAACCTTAAGGCAAACCTATCATAGGAAGTTTGTGGCCAGATTTGTTCAGAGGAGGTTTGCCATTGCCTTCCCCTGAGGCTGAGAGAATGTGACTAGATCAAAGTCACCCAGTGGGTTTCCATGGCTGAGCTGGGAACCGAAACCTGGTCTCCAGAGTTGTAGTCCAATGCTCAAACTAAGGGAAAGGCAACCTCAATGGGTCCATAGGGCAATTTCCTACACCCCAGACCAGGAGTAGGCAACCTTTCCCCTTTAAGGGCCGAGGGACTTC